CTCTCTGGAGACTAAGGTGCAGCTGATACAGGCCATGGTCTTTGCAATCACTTGTTATGCATCAGAGAGTTGGACAATGACTAAGGAGGTTAGAAGGAGAATTGATGCCTTTGAGCTGTGGTGCTGGAGAAGAGTATTGAGAATACCATGGACTGCTAGGAAAACAAACAGATTTCATCCTGGAAAGGGTTAAACCGAGTGGCTCCTTGGAGGCAAGGATTCTGAGGCTCCGTCTAACATACTTTGGACATGTTGTGAGGAGAAGGCCCACTACGAGGTGGATTAATTCAGTGACTGGGATAATCGGGATGGGAGTGTCAGAGAGAGTGCGATTGGCACAGGACAGAGTTTAGAGCTGTTGTACATAGGGTCGGTATGAGTCGCAAGCGACTCGACGGCACATAACAACAGTCTAATTAATGGACTAGAGGATTCAAACGCTGACTTTTGAGGTCTCTTACTATATGAGTCTTTTTAAAAAAAATTATTAATTTCAATGAAAATTTACAGACTTTGGATTTCCATTCATTCATTATTGCACTTTTATCCCCTTCCAACCCTCCCCCCAGTACACTACCCTTTCCCCCCCCCCACCGGGTGCTTGCTTTTGCTTGTAATACCATTAAAAATAGGGAGAAGGAGGGAAGGCAGGTGAGGGGGGGGGAAGGGGGGGGAACCCAACAGCAAAACCTTATATAGAAACACTATCCCCAGCTGAGCTCAGGGCTTAGGACACCAGCCCCGCTACCAGCCTTGAAAATAGCTTAAAAAACCTGTCAATCTAGGGGAGCGGGGCGGGGCTATGTACAGGGGCGGCGTTGGGCCAGCTGCCTGTTAATAGCAATGGCCTCAGCAGCAAAGGATGCCATGTCTTTGGCACAGCTGTTCCTCTGCAGGACCATGGGCGTGGGCAGCGTGTTCTCTGGGGTAAACCCCTGCACTCAGGGGTGCTGCAGGACCTGGGCGGCACTCAGCCTCTGCTTGGCATCAGGCACGAGGAGCTTGGAGATAAGTCTTTTGGCGGCGAAGGAGATGTGGGCCCAGTACTTGTCTGGGAACTCGTACTTGCCCTCTTGGATGCTCTCAAACAGTATGTTCTGGCAGGCCGGGCATGCCTCTCCGGGGTCCCAGCCGCAGTCGCTGCCACAGTGGCCCCGAAGGGCAGGTAGCCGCTGAACAGGATGTAGAGGATGACGCCCAGGCTCCACAGGTCACAGTGCTTGTCGTAGATGCTGGCCTACTCACTGAAGGCCTCCACCACCTCGGGAGCCATGTACTCGGCCAGGCCGCACGGGGTGAGCAGCTCTGGCGTGGAGATGGGGGGAGGGGGCAGTCCCCGTTGAGCTTGATGCCACTGCCCAGGTCAAAGTCGCAGATCTTCACGGGGGAGAGCTGGTTGGGGTGCTCACACAGGATATTTTCTGGCTTGAGGTCCCGGTGGGCGATGCCTTTGTTGTGCAGGAAGTCCAGGGCGCTGGCCACGTCCTGCACCACCACGCTGGCTCATTGAAGTGCTGACGCTGGTGGATGTGGCTCAGGATGGAGCCTCCCCGCATCTTTTCAAACACCAGGTAGAAGCGGTCTTCCTTCTCGAAGAACTCTTATCAGTTCCAGAACATTCCTGTGTCCCTTGCACTGGTACAGTGTCTCCACTTCCCGGAACACCTTGCCCCGGATGTGCCCCAGCTTCTCAATGATCTTGACTGCATACTCCTGGTTGGTGATGAGGTTGATACAGGTCTGCACTCAGGGGTGTGCGCCCTCACCTAGCACATCCTCCTGCAGCTGGTACACATCTTCAAAGTGTCCTGAGGAGCTGTCAATAGCCCGGTACCTCTTCTTCTTCCCCCTCTTCTTGGCATCTGGGATGTCAATGGGCTGGCTTGCAGGCACATCTGGGCGGGCCGGGCTGAAGTCAGTGTCCCCGTCGCCGTCCCCGTGCCCGAAGTGGGCCTGGTCTAGGGAGAAGGCCAGATCGAAAGGATTCGGTCCCTTGAACGAGCAGCAGAAGCCCGCCGTCTCTTCTGCACCATCTTCCTTGTTTTACAGTCCTTCCCCCCCCCCCCCAGGTCCATTCCACTATGCAGCCTTTGCTCTCGACACCTGGCATGACAAAAATACCTAATCACATACCGCTTTTAAACAGTTTTCTCCCTCATCTGTTTCAATGCAGTGTACATTACTGAACCCATCTTTCTCAGTCTCCCCTCAACCCCGAGGTCAGTCCTGCTTTACAACAGTGGCACCATGCAGTATTTGTCTTTCTGTGACTGGGATACTTCACTCAGCATAATGTCCTCCAGAGTCACCCATTCTGAATAATATTGCATGAGTTCCTTGTTTTGCAATGCAGCATAGTATTCCAGTGTGTGAATATACCGCAACTTCTCCATTCGTTTGTGGATGGGCACTGAGGTTGTTTCCAACTCCTTGCTATTGTGAACAAAGCTGCAATAAACATGTACTTGCAACTTTTTGAGAGAGCGCCATACCTCCTTCCAGAGTAGTTGCACTATTTTACACTCCCATCAAGAGTGAATAAGGGTTCCAGTTTCTCCACAACCTCACCAGCATTTGTTGCTTGCTGTTCTGTTAAATTTTGCTATTCTTACTGTTGTTTTGATTTGCATCTCTCTTAGAGCTAGGAATTTTGAACATTTCTTCATGTGCTTGTTGGCCATCTGAATGTCGTCTCTAGTGAAGTGTCTGTTCATAACCTGTGCCCATTTTTCAAATGGATTATTTACCTTTATCTTGTTGTAGTGTTACTATATGATTCTTACAGAAACTTTCTATCGTTAATATCAGCAAACTTTTTCATCAAATTAAATAATTTATAAGGAAAATACTTAAATTTTCATACTAGGGGTTTTTTTTAATACTAGTTCAAAGGAAGCTTAAAGCAAGTTTAAAGCACAATGAAAACTCATCGCTTTTGAGTCTCTTCTGATTCCTAGTGACCCCCAATAGCTTTCCTAGATTGTAAATCTTAATGGAAGACGACTACCCAGCTTTCTCCTCACAGCTTGCAGGTCAATTCAAATCACAAGACACACCAGACCTCTAATTAGCAGTGCAACACACTAGGGACTTTAATATAGTTCCTTAACTAAGTTTAAACTCAAACCCACTGTTAAGTGAATCAGTTCCAACTCATAGCAGCCCTCCATTGGGTTTGTAAATCTGTACCTCATTGGGAGAGGAGACTACCCATTGTTCTCCCTCAGAGCGACAAGTGGATTTGGGCCAGGTGCAGCACAGCACTGAGGGACTGCTACCAGAGCTCCTAAATGAGATTAGAATTCGAAAATTAACAGTTTGTTTTCACTATAGCTGATAAATAGGCCCAAGAGTGAAGATATCATGGATATCTTTTTGTTGATATATACAGGTATCCCTTACTCAGGAATTAAACACATTTGAATAGCAAGGAATTACTTGTAAAGGCATTATATTGGGATTTCCCCCCCAAAGTAGAGGTTTTAGTCAAATTATATTAAACCAACATTACCACTCAGAGTTGGAGTTGATTCTAGCTCATGGTAAACCTTCAAAAATATTTCTGAGACTATAAAAACAGGGAGATTGCCCATCTTTGTCCTGGGACAGATAATGAATTTGAACTGGAGTTCCACAGGTTTTTGATTAATAGTGAAGCTATAGATTTCACCACCAGAGCTACTACCTGCATATTAGTAAGGTACAATATATGGAACTTGTTTAGGTAATATGAGTATCATGTGATCAGTGTGGCCATCCTATTTGACAGTGTTCCCATTCTAGTCTATTTTTTTTATATGCTGCTAAATGCCTTCTAAATAGGGCTTGGCGATCTGTTTTTACAAACAGAGAAGCATATTGTTGTTGTTGTTATGTGCCGTCGAGTTGTTTGCGACTCATAGCGACCCTATGCACAACAGCCCTAAACCCTGATCTATCCTGCGCCAAATGCACCGCCTCTGACACACCCATCCCGATTGCCCCAGTCACCGAATCAATCCATCTCATAGAGGGTCTTCCCCTC